GTGTTTTAATAGGCTGCTTTGTTCCATATCTTCATGTTAATCACATTCAAACCACCAGTAGCTTTAGGTTGACATATTCTCTCCCAAGCTATCAGTGCTTTCTTGGAGTATTATATTGAGCCAGTCCACAAGAAGGTCCTGCATATAGTCTCTATCATCTTCATGATTTTCTTTGGCAATAAGAAGATTTGAGCCCAATACGTTTGTATTCCAAATAGCACTGATTTTATGAGTTGTACTCTTCCTGAGTATGAAAGCATCCTAGCTGACCAGCATCTAATTCTCTCTGTAATCTTCTCAATCAGAGGCAACCATTGATGAATGTTCAGTTTTCTTGCTGACAGTGGAACTCCCAGATATTTAAAAGGTATACTACCCTTTTCATATCTAGTATATTCAATCAGTTGTTCCTTTATATGCTGTGCAACTCCAACAATATAAATAGAACTCTTTTATGCACTTTCCTGCAATCCTGATGCATTTGAAAACCTCTTAAAGGTCTCTTGTATTATAGTAAATGATTGCTTGTCACCCCTGCAAAACATTAACAAATCGTCAGCAAAACAAATGTGCGTCACTCCCAGCTTCTTGCACTTGGGATGAAATTTGAACTCCTTCTGCATAGTTAATTGGTTCATCTCCCTTTGTAGGTACTCCATTGCAATCATAAAGAGGTAAGGAGATATTGGATCTCCTTGTCTTATATCTCTCTTAGCCATGAAAGGTCTAGTCAATCCTCCATTCAGCATTAGAGAATAGGACACTGTTGTCACACACTCCATTATCCATACTATGAATTTCGAAGGGAAGCCAAGATATGTGAGCATACATCTAAGAAACTGCCAGTCCAATGAATCATATGCCTTCCTTAAATCAACCTTAAGTACACATCTTGGAGATAAGCCTTTCCTGTTATAGCCATTGAACAGTTCACGGCTAAACAATATATTGTCTATTATGCTTCTTCCTTCTATGAATGCAGACTATGCTTTCCCAATGATACCTTCAATTACCTTCTTGATCCTTTTAGTTAGAATCTTGGCAATGACTTTGTATACAGTAGTACAGCAAGCAATAGGTCTGTAATCTTTGACAGTTGTAGGGGCAGAAACCTTTGGTATCAAAGTGATAGTTGTGCAATTTCATACTTGCTTCATCTTACTTGTTTGAAAAAAAAACATTACAGCATCATATACATCCTGTCTCACTTCTTCCCAATGCCTTTTAAAGAACTCTACTGGGAATCCATCAACTCTGGGGGCTTTATCATTTGGCATGTCTTTCACTGCTTCATCAACCTCTTCACATGTCACTTCTTTTATTAGCTCCTGTTGTTGTTCCAATGACAAGCACACTCCTTCTTTGATGAACTTTGTATTAGGGCATGGTTTTATCCCAGTGTTAGTTCCCATAAGTTGCTTAAAGAAGGTACTGAATTCATTTTCTACTGCTTGAGGTTCTGTGACTCTAGCTCCCACACCATTATATGCAGCAGTAATGGAATTTTTACTTGCTTTGATCTTCAGCCGTGCATAGAAATATTTGGAGTTTTAATCACCATAGTCAATCCAGATCACTCTTGCCTTTTGTTTCAGAATTCTTTCTTCTATTATACTCCATTTCTCTAGCTCTTGTAAGGTCTGCTTTTCCTTCTCAATTAGCTCCTGTTTAAAGGGATTAAGTTTCAAGTTGATTTGAGTATGTTCTAGATGCTGTCTTCTTTGAGTCAATCTTTTCTCATAACTTGTCATCTCCTTGTTTAATCCTTTTGCCTCAGATTTCAATTTTTGTAACTTCTGCCAAATGCTATCCATAGGATCATTTCCCAACTTCTGCTTCCAAATTATCTTCCCCATAGGTTGGAACTCCCTGTGTTCCATTGTTACCAGGTACAACTTGAATGACTTGGGATATATATTCTTCCTTTTCCATATTTGGACTACTATAGGAGAATGATCTGACACCCCAGGTTCTAGGCAGTCAGTCAGCTTCCACATGCCCATAATCCTTGATCCATTCAAAGTTTCCAAATGCCTAGTCTATTTTACTGTATACCCTGTCATCTGCATGCTGCTTATTGCACCAAGTATAGAAACAACCCTTTGTCTTCAATGGGGTCAGTTGCATAGAGTCAATACAATCCTTGAATTCTCTCACCTCATTCATAGTGACTGGTTGTCCTAAACTATCATCAGTAGTTAGAACATTGTTGAAGTCACCACTTATGAGCAAGGGAATTTGAATCTGTCCCCCTACCAATTGCAAATCACACCATAGACTTGCTCTGCCCTGTAGCTTGTTCCTAGCATACACTACTGTTAACATAATCTGGTATCCAGTCACTGAATCACTCACTTTGCAGTGAATGAATTGTTCATGAACTTTAACAATGTTAATTGATAAACTGGTCTTCCGTAGTACCCAAATTCTTCCATTCTCAGCTTTTGTATAATTATAGCAGTATCCCCAGTCTTTTGCTACCTTATACAGAATCTTTTTTGCTTTCATTTCTTTGACTCTAGTTTCCAGACATCCTAAAATGTCTATTTTATTCTTTTGCAGAAAGTTTTTCAATTCTTTCTGCTTATGGGGCTTGTTCGGCCCTCTTATGTTCCAGGTGCTTATGATCATGGTGGGTGTTGTCTAGGATCTAGATTCAACCCCCTCCCTATGCATATGTTTGACCAGAGTCCTCCAATATTCTGAATCTATTTGCATTGCTAGCCTCAACAATTTCACCATGCTGATCTAAAGAAGAATGCTGTCCTTCAGTGCCAACATCTGTGTGTATCCTCCTTCTACTTTGATCAGCATCAACTCTAGCAGTCTGTTTCTCTTTATCCACAGCTATTGGAGGTTGAATTTCAGTCACTTCCACATTCTTCTCTTCCTGTTCTGCTTGTTCCTTTGGCTTCCATTCCTGAACAATTCTCCTCCTTCTGCCTCTATTTCTTCTCTTAGGAACTTTAAATTCAGCATCATTTTCCTGTTTACTTTGATTCCAGCATTCAAAAGCATCATGTCCAAAATGAAAACAGTCATTGCAGAATTTTGGCTTCCATTCATATATAATTTCCTGCTGTTTTATACCAGAAGGAGTCATGATTTCAATATTCTCAATCAATGGCTTTGTTATGTCCACTTTCACTAGCACTCTTGCATAAGAAATTTTGTTCAATTCTGCTGTGTACTTGTCTATATACAGTAGGCATACCAACCTCACTAGCAACTTTACTTAAAGCATCAGCAGTCCAATACCCAGCCGATAAACTAGGAAAGTGAATCCATAGAGGAATAGTAGTGATACATTTAGGGTCAAAATAGAAATCTCTTTCCCAGTTCTGTAAAATTAATGGCTTGTTGTGGTATGTATATGGTCCTGCTTGAACAACTGTATCTCTATCCTCCATAGTTATGAATCGAAAAACATAATAGCCATCTTGGTGGTATAGAATTTGGGGCTTAGTAACAAAATCCCATGCTGTTTCTACATAACTCACCATAGATTTCTCGTATGGAGTGTCTCCCAGTACATAGTCGATTAGAGCAGTTTCCCAATAGTCCTTCAGCTCACTCACATCATCTTCCTCTATTTGAATGACTACTTTGCCATCCCTGTGACTTGGTGGGATATATTCCAATCTCATCCCCATCTGAGAGTTTCGATTCTGTTGTCGGAGCTCCTTTGCATGTAGGTTCTGTATCTAGATCTGGATTATGCTTTGAAGAACCAGCCTCAGAGAATTGAAGTCGTTTCGGACTTTTTGGTAGTTGATCCTTACATTGCTGAATTTCCTTTGTTGGATTCACCAATTTACTGTTCCATTGGTTACTGTTCCTTTCATCGATTTCATTTAGCTCACTTTCCTCCTCAATTGGTTGAAATCTAGCTGGTAAAAAACTTTCAAATGTTAACGGAGTGACAGTCTGCATCTTCAAGTTTGCCGGCATTGTAACAGTGGTCGCCGGAGCAGTTTGTTTGCGTCGCCTAGCCATCAGTGGTGCACGTTAGCCTGCCTTGGCTTATCGTGCGCTGAGAGCATTTTTTCGTTAGCTAACATAACATAACCCCCTGGACACCCATATTTCAAATAACAAGAGCGCACTTCATTTCAAAAGACAGAGTGGGTGGCTACTGACTTTCTTTTCGGACATCCCTCGTGGCCTCATCATCCAATTTTCGACAAATATTGTTATATTCTATAATTGAGGACGCGCAAAATCGTTTCATATTTTATGAAGAAAATCTGCATAATTCACCACTAAAATAGACCATTTCTTTTTTCTTTTTCCTCCCATTTAATTCATTGACAAATACATTAATTTGGTTCTTGATCCTTCAATCACTTTCGAGACCCAAATTCCATTCAGAAAAATTACACTTCCGATCCCCTAGTTATTAAAAAATAAGCATATCTACTCTTGAATTAATAACAAATCTGTGCTTTGATCCTTTTACATGATAATATTTTATTTAAATTATTTTTATGACTATATTACCTTCAGATATAGTAACAACTAACAATACAAATTTAACATAATACATGAGTAATTAAATAGTTTAACAATTACTGACTGTTAAATTTGTAAAAATTGGTAATCAAAAGGATCAAAAATATATATATTTCTATTAATTAAAGAGAACATAAATCAAACCAGATATCACTAGAATCAAAATTAAAATTCTTATTATCTCACATATTGAAAGATAAAATATTCATAAAAGAATTTGTTTGTGAAAAAAAACATGTTTTCTTATACATCTTAGTATATTCAATCACAAACAAAAAAACCCTACCCTAATCATCAAAAGAATAGTCTCCCCTTGCTAAAATTCAAAGAGCACGCTTCAATGAAATATGAAACTATGTTGCCCGGACTCTTCAAAAATGTCGCCGGGTACGTATTCGATCCTTTAAAAGTAGTGTATTTTTGAAGGATCCGACACGGGTGCGGCAATATTTTTGAAGAGCCCGAGCAATATAGATATGAACTACACATCAAAATCGTCGTCTTGAACAAACTGATTCTTCAACTATAGTTTCAAGCAATGGTTTCTTTGACCTACACATTAACAACATGTGCTTGAATTCTGGCGTTGAAAACTCTTCAATATCTTCTAATTTCAACTTTGGCAAACCAATTTTTTCATATTTTGGCTTAGGCTCCTCTATATCCACAGCAAATTGTGTGCATTCTGGCAATATTTTGACTCTTTTAAAAGACACCCTTTTGGCTACAGAATTAGCAGTGAGGAATAATGCACCCAAATCAGCTGCTGAAACTAATGAATTCAATCTTTTCATAGGAAACATGACATAAACATTGGCCATTTCAAGATCCTCATCAGCATTTAGTGCAGAAAATCTCCTACCAATATGTAGAGACTTTGAATTTACAAGAAAGAAATTAGGTTTCTCTAGCATGAGTTCAGCTGCTTTAATTTGGTGATGTATGTTTTGGATTTCACTATTTGGAAAAATGACCTTTACTATTCTTGATTGCTTGTTTCCTACTTGTGCTAATAATGTGCAAGATACGTAGTTGCCCATTTCAAATTGGACAAAACTCTTTCTTGAAAACTATGAAGAGTATAAAGATGCAAATAATATGAGGAAGAAGAAGAGAATATGGTTTTTGGGATTGAGAATTGAAGTAGTTTCCACCTATATACTAATGAAGGGAATGTTGGTAGAGACTAAAAAAGGTGAAAAAAGGATAAAAAGGTGGAACATATAATATAGTAATATAGAAAGCCAGTTGGAAAAAATATAAAGACAAGAAAAAATATGTGGGTATTTGGAAGTTGACAAGTTGGAGTATCAAAAAGGAGTTGGGTCCTGACTGTCATGAATCCGCGTAAGGTGAAGTGGGGTTACATTAACATATGTGATATTGACAGAAGTCGAATGTATGTTTTTCTAGCTACTCAAAATGCTCCATATATGATTAAGATATTGTCACTTTTGTTTTCTGTTAAATGCGTGTGGAGCCCCCATCTTCTTGATTATTGAATCACTACCAAATTTCCTATATAGGGTATTGTCGAAATTAGAAAAATAATACTCTATAGTATTGGTGTTTAACGGGTGGGCCGCTCCGGTCCGGGTTGAAAGTACGGGGGGGGGGGGGAAATTGTTTGTTTTTAAATATTAATCGATACCAGTTGACTAGTTTTTTCAAATTAGTCGACTAGATGAATAATTTGATAACAGTAAGGACTGAATTTAAGATGTAGACAATAAATGTAGGAATTAAAGACAGCGGAATGTTTATACTGGTTCGGATTCAATGTGAATCCTAGTCCAGTCCCCTTGGGTTGCAAGGGAGTTCTCTTTCAGTGAATAAGTTTCTAGAGTACATAGTGAATGGTGTGATCTACACCGATAGCTCAGTTCCTATATCACTCGTTTCTCTTTGATACAATGCCTCACCAGTGTTGTTCTCTTTTTCTTCTCTAACTTGTTACACAACAGATCTAGTAGCGCTACAATGTTTGTTTGCAGTAGAACAAAGAGAAGGTATTTGGTTCGATCAAAGTATATGTGCTAAGGTATAGAGACGAGTTTAAATACTTTGAGAGAGGCTTGATTTCTGAAGAGATTTGCCAACCCAAGAGATTTGATCCTCAGAAAGAGATTGATTCTTTCCAAGAATAAGGTTATTCAACAACGGCTTTGATGACTTCCCTTATACATGACTTGATAGCGCCGGATATCCTTCCTTGAATCTTGATCCTTCCAGATTTAGCATACTTGATTGATTATCTTGCAAGATCTTCGATACTCTTGATTGATTGATTCCTTCAGTCTAGCCTTAATTGATTCCGTCAGTATTGGACTCTATCATTGATTCCTTCAATCTTGGATGCTTTCCTTGATCTTCTCTGATAGACTCCTTCAATCTTGAATGCTTTCCATAAGTTCCTATACAAAGAACAAATATATTATTTTCATCNTATATATATATATATATATATATATATATATATATATATATACACATCAGTTGACTTCCCTGTATTTTAGTCCCCCTCAAAGAGAGCAGTTGACTTTCTCTGGTCATAGCTGTTGAGACTCTTGTAGTCGACTTCTTCTGCAGGATCTATGACTCCCCCTCAAGAGGTGCTGTGAGCTGCTACCTGCACTTGCCATTCAGTGATGCTACCTGCACTTACCCTTCAGTCGACTTATCCTTGTATATACCTGTACAAATACATATATCCTTTCTCCCCCTTTTTGACATTAGCAAAGAGGGAATAGTAAAACAAACTACATACTAAAACAGGATTTATAGCATGATATGCTTGCAAAGTTATAGCAAAACAAAAGAAAACAGAGAAATCATCCACTGACTGATTATCTAGTCCAAAAAACAACACATCAAAAAAATTGTCTTAAACTTCCACATTAACGACACAGAAAATAGGTAAGAGTATTGCAAATCGCCTCTTTCAGTTGATCAAAGCTAGCATTGGCTGAAACACTCATTCCATCAAGCTTGTCATGAACTTCCTTGAATGCCTTGACAGTGTTTTCCCTTACTCTGAGAACTGCAACTCGTATCTTTGAAACATCAGACCCTGTTTCTTTGGAGATAGCATGAACTTCACCAACAGTGGACTGAGTGGCAATGAGAATATCTTTGATTGCAGATAGCTGATTGTCAATGGCACTAAGCTTTTTAGCAAGGTCGGGATCACTGTGGCTAGGATGGGAAGCAGAAGGTTTGGATTTAGAATCGGTTTGAGCATGCTTGACTTCTCCTTCTTATTTCTTAGCCCATGAGCCCTTCACACACATATACCCCATACTCGCAAAAACTCTAGAATTGTAAGATTCTGAAACAGAGATAAAGGGATATTCAGATGTGGAAATATTATGAGCTTCTAGAATGTGAGTGATGGCCATGCCATAGGGTAGACTAGTGGGATCATCAGCACTTTCAATCATAAAATTGATAACCCTTGAGGACAGCTTGATCTTGAGTTTAGTCACAAGGCAATAGACTAGAAAAGTGTCTCTTTGAGAGAAAGTGGAGAAAGAGCCAGTACGAGGAAGCAGAGTGGTTGCAACAATGTGGGCCAGAACACGAGTTTCGAAACTAACATCACTAGGGCCTAACTGGTTTGGGAGAGATTCAGATGGACACTCAGCAATGCACCTTTTAGCTTGATCAAAAGAAATTTCAAAATCATCGGACCAGCAATTTTTGAAGAGCATGGGGAAACCAGAACACTTACACTGACAGATTGAATCAAACATGGCACAATCAATAACAATACACTTTCCTAACACTAAGGACTCCAACTTATCAGACTTACTGGAGCGAAGATTTGCATAAAACATTCTCACTAGGGGTGCATAGACTTTAGGCGGAGGAACAGAAAAGAACTTTGACCATCCTTGATAAAGGGAAAGATATTTTACCTAACAATTTAGGGCTTCCATGTCATCAAGGTCGACTACCCTCCCATGAGCAATAGGCTTGTCTTTCAAGGCGATGAAAAAAATCCCTATTTGGAGAATCCCAAAAATTTAGGTCTGACTCTAGGGAACTAGAAAGATCTATTTTTGACTTCTTTGGAGTGAAGGAAATAGGGGGGGGGGTTCTTCCATAGGTCGTTTTCCCAAAGCTTTTTCTCCTAATGTGTGAGAATGATCAGACAAATCAGCCTGAGAAGAGGCAAAACCTTCAGAATGATCGGACCCTAGGTCTACTTGTTCTGGGGGCTGAGAAGGGGGTTTTGCTATGGAGCGAGTACTCCTCCTGGTGGAGGCAGAGAGATTTTTGGGGTGTTTGGCCATTGAAGAGTTTTTGGTTGGGGAAAGCTTCTAAGAAGGGTTTCTAGGTGATGGGGACGATGGAGATTGAAAAGAAGTTTCATCATTAAAAAGAGGGTTCTGACGGTTGAGTACAGAAAAGGAAAGGGTGTCAGTTGATCAGAAGAGATGATTGGTTTTCCTTCTTTGAACCTGCAACTGATGTGAAAAGAGAGGAAAATCGGAGGCGCAATTAATGATTAAGAAAAGAAATAAAATACTAGGCATACAGAACAAAAAATAATACCACATAGGTCCTAATATTAACGATTAATACAAATAATGCCAAGAAATTCTCTTAGAGAGCAAAATCTTTCTTCTAATAAAGGCTTAGTAAAAATATCCGCTAATTGATCAGTAGTTCCAACAAAAGATAGTTCTATGTTTCCTTTAAGAACATAATCTCTAACAAACTGATGCTTAATGTCTATATTCTTTGCCCTAGTATGATGCACAAGATTTTTAGAGAGACATATAACACTAGAATTATCATAGAAAATTGGTATAGGCTTAATAATTCATAGTCACCAAGTTGATGAGACATCCATAGTAATTGTGCACAACATTGTCCAATAGCAATGTATCCAGCCTCAGTCGTGGATAATGCAACTGATCCTTGTTTTTTACTGTTCCAAGATATCAATGCTTTGCCAAGTAATTGACATGTTCCACTTATGCTTTTTCTGTCTTCCTTATTACCTGCAAGATCAGCATCTGAAAAATCTTCTAACTTAAACGTGTTAGAACGAGGATACCATAGTCCATGAGAGACAGTTCCAATGAGATATCGAATAATTCTTTTTACTGCAGTCAGATGTGATTCCTTAGGAGCTGACTAAAACCTAGTACATTTACAAACACTAAACATAATATCTGGTCGACTAGCAGTTAGATAAAGAAGTGAGCCAATCATTCCATGATACTTAGTTTCATCAACAGGAATTCCCTGTTTGTCTTTGTCAAGACTGGTTGAAGGACTCATTGGTGTGCCAATAGCTTTAGCATTGCTCATACCGAATTTTTGGATCAACTCCTTTGTATATTTGGCCTGACATATAAACGTTCCTTCTTCAGATTGTTGGATTTGAAGTCCAAGGAAGAACGTTAGTTCACCCATCATACTTATTTCAAACTCAGTTTGCATAAGATTTGAAAATTCCTTGCACATAAGAGGATTAGCACTCTTGTAAATCCATGATCAATAAGAAATGAACTGAGTCTTTCGTACCATGCCGTGGAGCTTGTTTCAGTCCGTACAGCGCTTTGTTAGCTTATACACATGATAGGGAAACTTTGAATCTACAAACCCAGGAGGTTGTTTCATGTATACTTCCTCTTCAATGAAACCATTCAAAAAGGCACTTTTAACATCTATCTGGAATAAACTGAATCTCTTAAAGGATGCATATGCCAGAAGAATTCGTATAGATTCCAGTCGAGCTACTGGGGCAAAGGTTTTGTCATAGTCGACTCCTTCTTGTTGTGAATATCCTCGAGCACCTAATCTAGCTTTGTTTCTTACAACTTTTCCATCCCCATTCAGTTTATTTCTGAAGACCCACTTTGTTCCAATTACAGGAACACTTTCAGGTTTGGGTATCAGTTTCCATACTTGATTTTTGTCGAATTGATCTAGATCTTCCTGCATCGCTCGCAGCCAGCTTGAGTCTTTCAGAGATTCCTCTATTTTCTTTGGCTCAATATGAGAAATTAGTGCTATGTTTGCTTTC